AAACACAAAAAACCCACAGGTCATCTCAGTAGTAAGCAGTACCTCACAGAGACTGCTATGGAGCACCTGGACTGATGGTTTGTCAACAACTTTCACCTGTTCCATATAGGCCAGGTCATGATCAGCTTTGATCCAAGGAATTTTTCATGTAGCTTCCCTATTTCTGCACTGGCATGAATTATTCTTGAATGAAAAAGACAGCTGATTAACTGCTTTCTTCTGGCATTAATCCTGTGCTTTTCCAGAACCAATCTGTAAGATGTGTCTTATAATAAAAGTAATAATGGGACAGGTGACAGGACTTCCCCGCCCTTCAATTGTCTGATTCTTTAACATGATCTGACAATAAAGAATAGGAGAGAGAATCTGTAAGAAAGACTGGGCAAGTATTCATTGTAGACAAACTCCATGCCATAATTCATTTCCATGTTTCCTACCTGGCCCTGTTTGGCATGTATGCTCTCACTTAAACTTAAGGGAGCGAAGTTGTCTTTTTAGTAATCATTTTGTTTTCAATAAACACTACCAAAGAATAAGCAGCATAAAAAATGAGAACATCACATTATACATTACTACACTGGTGCATGATCCATACAATAATCAGCTTTCTAGCACCATAAAGGCAGCGCACATTTCCCACAAGATTCTTTGTATTTTCATATGGAGACAGCTCATAATTTCTGCTCTTTGAACTCATTAAACTTGTTCCAAAAAAAGAGAAAAATAAAGGATAGTAAAAGGGCAAAGTATCCATCACTTACAAAGCCTCATTACAGCAGTATATCAATACCAGAGGTGATGGGACTTGGGGTGCTACCACACGCTCTGGCTTACAGTAGTAACAAGCCAAATACATCATTTATGCCTATAACACTGCACTGTTCCAGCACCACTGAGCCATACCATCCATTTCCAGTTCTTCTGGCCTGGGCTTGGAGACAGAAAACACTCTTTCAAGTACTGATCCACCTTTGCCCTCCCAATGTTTCAATTTCTATCCCTGCTTTAATAAACTCTTACTTAGCCCTTTTCCTGCCTATCCTGCTATGCTCTTTATTTTATTATGAAGCTCTTTGTTATATAGTTTTGTAATTCTTCACCATTAGGCCTGTCACCTCTTAGTCCCACTCACCTTTAGCTGTGGTTACCAAAGCTCTAATAGTCTCAGCATCAGGAAGCGAAACAAATGGAGAGTCTGTAGGCCAAGCCAGTCAGGAAAATGTTTACTACTTGAAAGACAGATACATTTGCAAAATACTATTCTTATCTTGATATTTGGTAACATTGCTAGGGAAAAACTCTCAAATGAGAGGCTATCCAAAATATGTCAGGGGAACCTCTTTATTTTTGGGGAAGATACAAAGATAATTAAAAAATAAGCCATATACTGAGAAGAAAGTTCCAACCTCATCTTAGGGTCTGCTACCACCATTCCATAATACATTATAGATGCATTTCACTGCTGTCAGGAGGAATCAACAGGGGTTCCTCTTCAGCTGCTGTGCCTGCAGTTAATTCTGGCTGGCCTAAAAACCCAGGTAGGACTAACATCAGAAGGAGCAGTGATCAATGCCTGTTCACTCTGTGGGACTGCACCAAAGAAACCCCAGATTCCTCTAATGAGGATCTAAAATAAGATAATCCTCAAATATTTGGCTATATGCCCATACTATTACTGAGCATAATTAATCCGGGTTAAGACCCTGTGTGGTTACCAAGGCAACTGCAGATTTCATGGTATCTCCCATTTAAAAAAAAATCCAAAATGTTTTCCACTAAGGAATTTTTGCAAGTCAAAGGGTAGGGTCAATAGGATGTTAACTGGGACTTAGAGTTGTCAAAGCAACAAAAATGGCTTTTCAGCCAAAACAATTTTTAGTGTATGTGGAAATTTTCATTTTGATTTAAACTCTCTCATTTTAAGACAAAGCCCCAAACTGCAAATGATTTTGTTTCCTGGTATTTCCCAACCAGCTGTAGTGTTAACACTGGAGGAAGTTGCTGAGCATTGAGTGTTGAGCCATTGGTCTGAATGGGAAAATAATTCAGAATCTCATCAATTGCTCTTCAGGGGACCTAACCTCAATAAATGATTTCATTCCTTTGAGGTCGTAAGTCTTCTCTGTGAGCTTTGGTTTATAAAGTTTGGCTCCAATAAACCAACTCTTGTTTTCAAAAGTTATCAAAATGTACTAAAAATGTGGCAAATAAATGTTAATTTGGGTACAGAATATTGTTAGTAACTTTTGACTTTTCTAAACTATATTGCCAGGACTTCTGCCCTTTTCACCAATATCACCCCTGTGACATTTCCTAAAACCCGTCATGTCAAAACGATAGCCCTGCTCATAAATAAAGTGCTAATACACTGAGGGGTCTTCAAGAGCAGAAGATATTTATTTTCAGAAGAAAATCCCCCAAACATCATATTCTGATAGGCAACACATCAGAATGAATTAGAATGAAAGCTGGTGAAGATAATATGATGGGTAAAACATCAGATAAAATTAGATTAAAAGATGCTGAAAAGCCCAAAAGCCAGAAGACTTCCTTGTGACCCAGCCAAAGGAATGCTTGGATAAACAGACTGACAAGGCAAACAATTCCTTCATAAAAGACGTTCAAATATGCCTCCTACGATACTGAAAGATGAAAATAAAAAATGCCTTAGACATTTGCATGCAATTCATTTCAGCAAATGCTACAATGTGCAAAGATTTTAAACAAAACATTCTTCAAATGTTTCAGCAAATCTACATTTCTTCAGAACCTGGGCTTAATTTGCTCTTTATATTTGTGGTCTGGATGATGAGTCTTCCTAAAAAAACAGTGTCATCTTCCCAATGAAGGTCCATGAAAAAAAATATCACAAGGAAGACAGTCTCAATATATGGATGTAACCTGGAAGGAATGTCCTTATAGTTGGAATGATGCTGAGTGGAAAATATGAATGCATGCACAACCTGGCAGCCTTTGGGATTGCTTAATGAATGATCTAAAAAATGATGGCGAGGTCTGAACAGACATGGAAAGACCCACCAGTAAGAGATCATGTTACATCATATTTAGGGATGTTAAATTTCAATTAATTAACTAGTTGACTGGTAGATGGAATTTCCTTTGACTATTCAATGAGTCGATAAGAACTACCGCGTTGTGCCTTTGAAATGTACAAGAACCCCAATAGGGGCTCTTGTGCATTTCAAAGATAGAAACGCTGCATGGAGACCCAGGACCAGTGGGGAGTCCCGCTGACCCCGGGCTCCAGCTGCTTCCACTTTGAAATGTACAAGTGTCCCCAGCGGGGGCTCTTTTGCATTTCAAAGCGGAAGTGCCACATGGAGCCTGGAGGCAGTGAGGGACTTCGAGTCCTGCGCTGGCCCCAGGCTCCATGCTGTGCTTCCTCTTTGAAATACACAAGAGCTCCTGCTGGGGACTCTTGTACATTTCAAATCTGGCATGCCGCGTGGAGTCTGGGGCCAGCAGAGAGCCCACCTTTCTGCTTTGAAATATATGGCGCTTCTGCAGTGCTTCTGCTTTGAAATATTCAAGAGTCCCAGCGGGATTAACACACCACATGGAACCCAGGGTCAGCGGGGGAGTCGCTGGCCCCAGGCGTTGCTTCCTCTTTGAAACATATAAGAGCCCTATTGGGGACTCTTGTACATTTCAAAGTTGGCCGCTGCTATGCCCCTACCCCCTCCCACAGAGCTGGAGCTGGGGGGAACCCACTTTTAAGCTGGCTCCCTCCAGTACCTCTCTCTTCCCTCCCCCTTGTGATAAAGGCAGCAAGGCGGGGAAGCGACTAGTGTGTCAACTATCCAATAAGCTTTTGCTTATCGGATAGCTGACTAGTTGATTAGTCGCTTACATCCCTAATCATATTACCCTCTAAAACTGGCATATACAATGGCAAAGTGTCTCATAGACACTTTAAAGCTTTGTATAACTGTAGTGATTCCAAGACTTCTTATACTCACATTTTAGGGAAACAATAACTAGCTGGAACACAAAGCAATTTTTCAAGATCAAATTTGTGAGCAGTTCTGATCTGCTGTGACTATGCAGTGCACACACCTTGAAGGACGGCCTCTGCTGTATCTATACATTAACAGAGCCAATGGTTGCTACATTCTGGTGCCAATGGAAAGGCATAATACAATCTCACACAGGCCCAGTCAGAGAAGCTTAATGAAACAAGGATGAAATCCGTAACCTCAGTATTGCATATAATGCAGTAAGCACCTAGTAACAAAGTGGACTCTCAATCAAATGCTTTACCTCATCCACAAAATGCCACATTATTTTGAAGGCTAACAAGAATAACGAACTTTTTCAGAGACAAATCACTGTTTTTTGAAAAAGGGATGGGACAACAATATGCCACTTTTACTGTAGCAGAGACACCATTTTTTTCTCCAAGAGCATTTTAAAAAAAACCACACACATCCTCTCACATTTTCAAAAGGTAGTCTAACATAGGTTCTGCTACTCAGTTTCAGCATAGTTAGGCAGTTAGCACTTTGTTTGTATTTTAACCATAAACAAAGGGTCCACTAAAATTAATTTCTTGAACAAACTTCTCACTTTCCAGCATTTTCTTAAAACATTTTTCATCACAAATTATAGTGATGTAGTCATATTAATTCCTTCAATAGGTCTAACAATCATACATTGTGATCAGTAAGGGCAATATTCTGAGCTAATATAAATCTGCATAGTTCCATAAACTATACTAATTTATGCCACTTCTGGTGCATAGGTTCACTGACTTGTGTGTGGAGGTTCCCATCAAGTGCAGGAGTCCATTCTGAATGTAGAATCGGGGACTTAAATTACGAACAGATTTTATAGTTCCTCAAATTTCATCTTTCATTAACGTGCTCTTTCATCAGAATTTTACAGACATTAGTATGAGATATGCATGAACGATTACATAGTGAAACCAGTTTTGTAAAAAATTTTGTTATGCAAAAAAGTGCTTGTGTCACTGTACTCACCATTCCATGATTCAGCCAAGCTGGTATAAAATTATCAAGAAGCTTTGGGTAAATCACTTCTCTGTCATAGATATAGAAGCTCCAGAACATTATCACAACAAACTGAGGAAGGAAAAAGGGAAAGAAAAGACCATTTTAAAAAATGCTTATGATCAATTGTCTGATTTCACTGCCCTTTTTCTAAACATCTACTTAAAGATATACAGATATTATTGCTTAAACCCAGTCTTCTTTTTTTTCCAGTGTGGTCTAGAGTATTCTTCATATTCTCAAAAGTAATGATTTTTCTTTTCTGTTTTTGACAATTACACTGGAAACATAATTTTACGTGTATACTGGGGGCCAAGATACAATTGAATACCTCATTTTAGTAGCAGATGTGGCATATTAATAATGTTTTACCACTAACTGTACAGAAAACAAAGTGAAATTTCACAATATACAGCACATATTAACATAGGGTAAGCAGGGCTCTGTTCATTTGCATTGAAATTCACGCTTGAACAGAAGGCCATCATCTCTTATGCCCCACTTTGGCAACCAAATATTTTAACCAAAAAATAAATTGAATTCTTTAGAGTGTTATGCACAGAATTTATGGACAGAGGTCCAAAAGAAAAAAAAAGTGGTTTCCAACATCCTACTCACTTGACCATATGAGACTCATCTGGGCTCTTGTCAAAGAAACAACTTACTAGACTCCCAAAGAGTGAGCATACATTCTCCTTTCTCTCTCTAACCTGAGGATGGACGAATGAGTTTGAATAAAATAAAATCTATCCTAAACCTTTAGGAAAAACTTGCACAAAACCTTTTAACTTCTTTCTGAGAAGCTGAAAACGTCTTCCCTTGAGGGCTGTGTCTAGACTGGAAAGTTTTTCCAGAAAATCAGCTGCTTTTCCGGAAAAACTTGCCAGCTGTCTACACTGGCCACTTGAATTTCCGGAAAAGCACTGACGATCTCATGTAAGATTGTCAGTGCTTTTTCGGAAATACTATGCTGCTCCCGTTCGGGCAAAAGTCTTTTTCCGAAAGACTTTTGCGCAAAAGGGCCAGTGTAGACAGCACAGTACTGTTTTCTGCAAAAAAGCCCCGATCGCGAAAATGGCGATCAGGGCTTTTTTGTGGAAAAGCGCGTCTAGATTGGCCACGGACACTTTTCTACAAAAAGTGCTTTTCCGGAAAAGCTTTCTGCCAATCTAGACGCGCTTTTCCAAAAATGCTTTTAACGGAAAAGTTTTCCGTTAAAAGCATTTCCGGAAAATCCTGCCAGTCTAGACGTAGCCAATAACTTTTCACCCACCTCTGCATTTTCTCTTTCTATCCAAGACTATGAAAGTAGAAGTACTGAAAGGCTTTTCTCAGAATATTTTTATTCTAATGGAAAGCAATAAATATTAGAAATCTGGAGCTTCTAATTTTTTGAGGTTTGCTCATCATTAGTACTATGTAACAGTGCTGCTCCTGATTCAGACCAATCTGCTCATAATTCAGACTGATATGAACACACCATCATCAGCCATGGAGATTTCATTGCTAGCTCACACCACAACACAAGGGGATGCTTCCCTGGGAGCTATGTCTTTATTATGAACCTGTTAAAGTATCTTTATTCCCCCTCCTTGAAAATGCAAACTACCTAAAATAAAGTAAAAACAATGTAGCAATATTAGTATTAGCTTAACTTAATACAACCCTGAATGTTGGAAAGAGATCATAGAACTAAATTCTTTGTACATATGCCATTTTCTTTTTAATTTGAATTCAGTTCAAACTATGTTCAGTGTTGTGGGGATAAAAGGGCTGTCACTTGCTATAAAAATGAATCTTTCACTGGTAAAGTTCAAGAGAGATTACAGGATCACTATGTGGAAGAGATTAGACCAAATTCAGACCTACAGCAATCAGGTGCAGCTCTCCTTGAAGTCAATGGGAGTATGTCAATGGGGCAAAGGATGATTTTGGAGACTAAAGAGTGGGAACAAGTAATGTGAGAAATACAGGGGCAAGGGTATTCAAGGTTAGTAAATTATCAGTGGATGTGGATGGGATGAGTATAATTCACTTCATACGCTCCTGGTTTTGGGAAAGTTAAAATTTAGGTTACGGATTACCACTGGCACCTTGTCCTAACCACAGATATGTACTCTTTGACAAAGACAGACATTTGGAGTATTTAGACTGATAAATTGTTCCTTCAGTATGCACACAGTACATAGTTCCCTAAGACACTTTCCCATCTGTTATTATGGATTTCAGTGCTCGAAATAAGTTTGAACACTTCAACTTGTGTGTAGGCGCCAGGAAAAAAAAAAGGTTATGATGGACAGCTTGCAAAGTACTGGAAGTATAAAGTTCTCATCAAGAAGTCTCTCCTCTGTGTCAGTATTGGCATTGGCACCACAGAGCTCTTTACACACCTGGTGATGTTAATTGCCAAAAAATGAACAGCTGAACAATAGGGAAATTAAGCAATGTCTCCCAACTCCTTTGGCTTCTTTGAAGTCATGTTGTATTGTAGTGGGTCACTGAGAATATATTGAGACCAACTGGGATATTAAAACATATGTAGCTTGAAAACCAGACTTGAAAGCACTCTGTGTGGAGAAAATCCTACATCAAGCAAAGGCACCAAAGAGTCGTCTGAAACTTATTAGAATGAATCTAGCTAAACTGGCAAATATGTGGGTCTGGAATTTTTGCACAGGACACAGTGAAATGATAGGTAAATGAGGTAAAGGTAAGAAAAGAGAGAAGGAACCATCTGTCTTTTAATCAAAGTCAGCCAATGGATGGAATTAGATCAACATAGCTGGTTGCAACCATCTGGTGCTACAGACGGCAAAGGCTGCTTAGCAAAGCACCGCCACAGGCGGACATAAGGAAAGACACAAAAAAATAAAACATTACAGTTCTAATGGAACCCAACAAAAAAAAAAAAAAAAAAAAAAGGACATTCAGACTCAAGGCAACCACACTGACCTGAGTCTCTTTAATTGGAAGAAGACTTCTCACATTGGTTGGTAAATGTCTTTAATTGGCTGACCCCAACTATTTTTTTTATGAATTAATATAGACAACAGAAAAGTCTCATTATTGGGACAATTTACATAGCTTCCTAGCCTCCATTACATGTTGCTTTGATTAATAAGCAATTGTTTGATAGCTCTAAAGAGGTTTAAAATTCTCTTTCATATTTAGCACTGTTTATATCAGCATTAGTGTGAATTAATTTCAGCTACACTCAGCTAGATTTTTGTGGCTGTTCTGTGGAGAGGGGGAGAGAAAATGAGTTTCCTATTTACATGTATTGCATCCCCTGTCCCAATGGGGGAGCACAGGTAGTAATACTCAGTCACTTCTCCCCTCTCTTCCCATAAGGAGCAATTCACTGCAATGGAAAAGGAGGTACAGGGAGCTGGTAAGAGCCATGGATCACCCTTGCTTACACACTGGCCAGCACAATGGGCTAGCCATGCAGGGAGAAGCCATGCATAGCCATTTGTATACCTCCTTGTATAGCTGAGGCAGAATGGCAGTTTTGGCAAAGAATCTGTGCCATGAGAACCTACTGACAAAAAGCCATTGGAATTTGTTTCTGCACACCCATACACACGTTGCAGCCCCTTGCACAGGGAGTATCTCAGGAGCCAGGAGGGACATGATGGGAGTGGGAAGAAGCAGTGCCTAGAGCACTATGCACTTCAGCAGACCCAAGCTTCCATTGTTCTTAGGATATCAAGGCCAACTGGTGCAAATAAGAACAACCTACTGACAAAAAGCCATTGGAATTTGTTTCTGCACACCCATACACACGTTGCAGCCCCTTGCACAGGGAGTATCTCAGGAGCCAGGAGGGACATGATGGGAGTGGGAAGAAGCAGTGCCTAGAGCACTATGCACTTCAGCAGACCCAAGCTTCCATTGTTCTTAGGATATCAAGGCCAACTGGTGCAAATAAGAACTGCTCCCATGTTTCTCTGCTTCAGGACTGCAGCAAAGAGCCAGGCAGCTCTAATCCGTTCCTGAGGATACTCTCCCTTTCCCAAACTCTTCTGCACAAAGCAGATGCTAATGCTACAGAGAATCTGCCTCTGAGGATTTCACTGTCACAGTACAGAGCAATTGCACCTGTATTCTCCCTCAGGGACCAGCTCCCTCAGGCCACCTACTCTAGGCTTCCGGTTCCTCAGCCACCACCTTTCTCGAATGGAGATCTGAGTCTCTCTCCCTCCTGATCAAGGTGGGTTTTCCCCCCCAGTCTGCACAGTTTCTCACCCATACTGTGCCCAGGAAGACAAAGAGTCTAAGTAGGCCTACTTTGCTTTCTCTTCAGAGGTTATAAATAAGAATGGCAGAATCATGACCCGTGTTTATTCCTTCTCTCCTCTTCTGTGGGTAATACCCATAGGATAGTCAGTCGAAAGTAAATGCTTTCTACTTTTTTTCTACATAAAAGCCACAAGAAGGACCCTCCTTTGCTACTCACTGTGTTCTATGGAAACTCTAGACAAGTGAGCATTTCAGTTTTTCAAGTGGGCTTTGGGTTCTCTTTCAGAAGGAGTAACTGACTTGTAACATGCAACACAATATCATAAAACAATATACAGCAGCAGCAAAAGTGTTACTAAGTCCTATGAAACAATTTCCTTCTCCCACTTTAGAAAAAAACATTATTCAATTTCACCCTCACTTTTAAAGCTTTAGAAAACACAGAAAGAACACTCGATACTATTGAGAAGGAAATTGTAAAGCACGAATCAGGAAACTGTTAGTGACTCAAAATGAGAAACAACAAAGGGCATCAGTAAAACAACAGAAATGGAAACAAAGACAAAGTGACAAAGGGAAGCCAAAATGGTATAATTTGCTGTTTACGTGTACCTAAGCAAAAAAACTACCATACAATGAATAAGATGGATTTTTAACTGCATATTTTTGGTTCAGGATAACCCGTACAATTAAATTTTACTTGTTTCCTGAATATTTTCTAAGGAAAACTGGATGCTTTATGTGTTCCACATGGACAGGATGACTTTCTGGTGGGTTTTTTTTGCAAGAATAAAGATTTTCTCCTATGACCTTGGGCAAAACTTTTTCTC